GAAGCAAATGGTTTAATAACTTCATTCTGTAAAGAGTGGGATGGAAAATAAAAGCTACCAACCCAGAGTCAAAGGGAAGAGTGCTGAAGAACCAAAATACTGACTATTTTGGGAAAGAAAATGAAGGAACAATTCTGATAGCGCATTCATTATTCTAAGAGAGTAGGTGGGTGGCAAATATATATGTATCCACTCATCTTATCCTTGCTTCCTCTGAGTTCACTTTTCTCTCCTCCAGCCCTCATCTTTGACCTGGAACTTCAACATAAGGAGCCAAATCACCATAAAAGATAACTAACTAGAGAAGCTAGTGTCAAGTAGAATGTTCTCATTATAATATTAGCTGTCATTTACATTGAACTTTGAGGCCTACAAAGTATTTCACAAATATTATCTCATAAGATTGTCAGATGGGAAACAGTTGCTATTATTATACCCATATCATAAATTAGGAAGCTAAGGCAAGTAGAGGTGAAGTAACTAATTCTCCTGCTGCTCAATTTCCCACTTCTGTTCACCTTCCAACAAAAAAGTTCATGTTATTCTCCCCATCTTCCCTGCCCCTGTTATGCCCAGGCAGTTGAGAAAATGAGGTGAAAATGTTTGCCCAAACACCATTTGCAGCTTCCATGGCTGCATCTGTATGTTTTAAGGATTTCCTAAGGCAGAGATAACAGTTCCTGACCCCACTGAGTGGGTCTCTGGCCATCAAGAACATTTCTAAGCCTCTTCAGCAGGCTTCCCTCTCTTTTTCCCCCTCTCCTCCACCCCTTCAAAAGAAGACACATTTCTGCCTCACTTAACCCTGTTTGAGGTTGAATTCATCCCTGCGCTCTCTTATGTTACACCATGCAGTTTAAAAGGCAACCAGGAGCAAAACAGATCAAGCACAGGGATGTCAAGAGTAGGCCACAGCTCAGTGCCCCAGGAAAAAGGCAGCTTCTATTTGCTGTGTCTAGAATTGCTGCTCAGAGTCTATGTTTCACCATGCAGGAGACCCCAAAAGAGTCAGGCAGATCTTGAAGGAACCCCAGGTGGAAAATGTAGCATTCTACTTTCCAAAAGCAAATTTCTATTTCAATATTTTTTTAAAACAACTCACGTAATAGCTCACAATTAGATAGCACATTATAGTCTGCAAAGCATTCTACATTCATTATCTTCATTGAGCCTCACAACTACCCCATGAGATAGATCTCTATTTAATCTTCATTTCACAGATGAGAAATCAAAGGCTTCTGTAATCAAAGGCTTAAAGAATAAGTGATTGGCTTAAGATCATGAACGTAGTAAATTATTTTGGTGAGATTCAAACCCAGTTCTTCCTGACTGCAAGTCCAGTGCCCCGTCCATTATGTGACTCTATCTTTCATCACTTATTAAGAGTAGGTTGTGTGAGCATCAGCAACTATACCCTTAGAATGCTAAGCTATCTATTTCTCACTTGCCCTAAAACTGTGCTTTTTCATCTCAGCCATCTTTCTCCTTGCTACTGTGGTTGCTTTATCCTCTAAACCAGACGCTCAACTACTAGGCCCAGGAGGCACTAATCTATCTATCTACAAACTCCAACCCTGTGCCCATGTTTCTTTATTCCAGCTGTATTTTGCCCTACCTCTACATGTATACCCTCCTCTTGTATCTCTTGCTCTGGAAAATGTAATCAAATCAATATCACCATTACCACTAAAAGAATTAAAAATTAAAATTTAATTTTTCCTCTGCAGTAATTACTCTCTACTTCATCCTTTCACCTCCTAATCTCAACTTTATGTCATCTCCAAATTTAATGAGCATGCTATCTATCCTTTCATCCAAATCATTGATAAAAATTGTTGAATAGCATAGGGTCAAGGGCAGATTCCCTAGAGCACCCCTCCAGACATCTCTCTACAGACTGACATCGTGTCACTACAGTAATAATGTTGGGAATACTTAAATTAGCTCTTCTGAGGACAACAGGAAGCTCAAATAGGGAACTGCACTGCTGCTTCAGGTGCATGAGGTGAGGATAATGTGGACAGAGAGAAGAAAGAATTATTGAACTCTTATATTGCTTCCATTTTATCTGTTTAGAAGAAAAAAGCTTTGGATAGGAAGGAAAATATTAAAGTGACTAACAGGCATTGAAACCAAAGAGAAAGGAGAAGGTGATAGGAGAGCACCTGTTGGCCAGCAATGATTTCAAATCCCCTGGCCCAGATAAAATAAATCTCTGGGCTCTGAAAGAATTTGTAGATGTGACTGTAGAGCTACTGCCAATTTAAAGAAGGACAGGAAAAGCATCAGGGCCAGAGATACACAAAAATTTTTCCCAATTAAAAAAAAAAGTTCGGTAAGCTTGACTTCCATTCTTGATAAATTTTAGGACATATTTTTAAAAGAATGGTTTGTGGGCATTTGTAAAGGGAAGCAAGGATCACTGAGAGATAGCATCAATTCATCAAGGACAGTTTTCATCAGACAAACCTCCTTTTTGCTCTGGCTTGTTAGACTAGGTGGATCAGGAGAATGCCATAAAAAGAATATATGTGTATTTAGCAAGACATTGAGGTACACTGGCAAAACCTATTGGGTTGGAGTTCCAGCAACAACACTATTAGTTGTTTAAATTCAGGGAAGTTGTTTAACCTCATTGAAACCTGATTTGCTCCCCTGTGAAATGGATGTATTAATACTATACATTGCTTTGTCACAGGTTTATCACAAGAAATGTGCTTGGTAAACCATAAAAGGCTACTTAAGTGTGAGCTATTAGTTTTCACTCGTACTTAAAAACTGCTAATTGTGGTTGATGATAATAACAGTTTATATTTATATAACTCTTTAAGGTTTCTAAAGAACTTACCCCCATATTATTCTGTAAACTAGGTCATAAAAATTATTACCCCCATTTTACAGATAAACTGAAACTCAGTTTAAGTGACTTGTTTCTAGTCACATATCTAGTGTCAGAACTAGGTTTTCAACCCGGATTGAGCAGTACAAATGATATATCTAAGGAGAGCCATAAGGTTTTTTTAGGTATTTGCACATAGTCTTTATGCATTATTTAAACATTAAAAGGAGTATTGCCATCTACTTCTATAGCCTTAAAATGTACTTAGAAGTTGACTTGGTAATTTTGCCATTTACCATATAAATCCTTATATTTTTAAAATTAAACTCATATTTGCTGGAATATCAGCCTTCAAAATAAAATTCCATCTCAATTTTGTTTCTGTATTGCTTATTACTAGTATAGCTACAGTGTTTTCTGAATTATTTTAGCTAAAATATGATCTAAACAAACTTTTGTAGGCCATTTTGGAAAATTATCCGCAAGTGTAACATTATTCCTACAAGAAAATCCTTTCTCAGTTACAATCAGCTGACTTACAAATAAACTTTGAGAGCATAATCCATCTATCCATAATCAGAGACTGCCTGATTTGAATTAAAGTTAGTATCCTCACAGCCAGCCTCCTCCCACACACTCAGTTTTCCTCCTCACTGTTTAAACACCATCTCCAATACACACTGCCCATTTGTATCCTGCTTCTTTAATGTTCTTTTGTCTAGAGTGGGGGTTACAATATCTAGAGGTGGAGAAGAAAAAGATTGATAGGAACCATTTTTTACTACCTGAACAAACCAAAGAGATCAACAATCCAAGACTTATGTTCATCCTGGCCACAACTAACAAAAATCTGTAAACCAAGGCATTCAGTTTATCAGTATATGTCTATAAACCAAGGAAAGAACTCTGGGTACATTTTAAGTTGCCTGAAATAAAATGAGAAATCTCTCAATCATTTGTCACTGCCTTGCGTACCAAGCTTTAACAAATGGCCCAGTAGGGTTTGGGAGTCTACTGACAAAATGTGGGGGTGGTGGGAAGGGGGTTGACCTCCCAGAGTTTATGAAAGAAGCTTTTCAGGAGAAGGCATTCATTTTTAGCATTTTTTAAATGTATGTGACTTTGAGCAAGTCATCTGAAGATAAGGGGCCAGATCTTTATGCTAGAACTATACCTATAGTTTTGCAAAGTGTTGCCTGTGGGCCCAGACTGTAAACACATATAATACTTATAGAGAAAAGAGTCATGAATTACTTAGAAATATAAAGAAACTCCCTGAAGTTCTCTCTTCTCTGTTATTTGACCATAACTTCTTTGTGTACAATCAGTTGTTTTGCGATAATGCTTAATTTTCAGACATTTGCATTTACCATTATTCAGCAATTAGGTATGTTTCAACATGTTAACCCTGAGAATCTTTAGATGTCCTTATTCTAATGTGAAAATCAGTGTGGCAGGAAAAAGAGCAACCAGGGTGAATTCACTTTGTCGGGCCATATGTGGAGCTTTTCAGGGTGGTATAAATTAAAATTTGAAATACCCAAGAAAAAGATTGCCCCAAAAAATCACATTATCCTTTGTTAACTATAAATGGGACAATTCTCTCTTCATTAGCTCCCACTACAAAAAACAAAAATTTAATTGGGTAAACAGAACCAATGTTTGGAGGGGCAGACAAAAGAATTTCCAGTATATCCTTTGATTCTTAATAGTATCCTGTTGCTTGTTACTTTGAGCAACCAACTATATCTTTGTTCTTCTGATGGAAAATAAAGGCCCAGATTCTTATCCCAGAATTATATGAATCCAAAAGTGATACAGAATGATAACTGAACCCAAGGTTAATAATGCTTCATATAGGAAATCTTTAGCTAAAAGGCAAACATTTTCATCATAAAGTTTTTCAGTCTTTAAGTGAATTTGTAATTTTCACTCTACCAACTTCTAGTGTATTACAAGGTAGTCCCCAAGGACAAGGTCCAGGTTCAGTCCATACCATCCACCAGGTCTCTCACCCAAGGAAAAGGAAAAACTTTCACAACACACATACGTTTTCCCTCCCTCCTCCCTTTCTCTCACTCACTCTCTCTCTCTCTTTCTCTCTCTCTCTCTCTCTGTCTCTCTCTCTCTCTCTCTCTCTAACATAAATGATATAATATACCAAGCATGTTAGCAGTACACTGAAGAATTCCTGAGACATCTTCAATTTCCTCTTTGCTGGAATGGTCTGCATAGGAGCATCTGTTAGAGAGATTGTAGAAATTCTTTTCTGCATCCCTGTAACTAAAATGGAAAAAAAAATGAGCATATGGAAATTTTAAAACATCTCTGAAAGTGCATACACAAGAACATGCAGGCCCTTGTACCCCTTACTTTTAGCCCAATGGCATTTCTAAATAACTGATGCTTTAAAACATAATCTCTGACAAAAGCCACCATTAGCATCAGCACGAACAGCATGGACATGATATTGGAGACATTCTTTAATAAGCAACAGTGTGAGAAGGGAAAAAAGAAAAGAAAACCAAAAATTTAGCAGTTAGCAAATGCCTCACTATCTGTGTGCGTCATCCCTGCTGGCAGTATGCTTTTCTAGTGAAATTGCCTGGTACATGTAAAGCAGGGGGTGGTGAGTAGCTGTCCAGCATCTGTGAGGTAAAACCAGCCTCACTGAGCAAATAGACACACACCATTGTTGGATAGAAATGTCTTATCTTATTTAACCACCTCTTGCATGTTTTAAATAGGCACTTTGTCTGTCTGTCTGTCTGTCTGTCTGTCTGTCTCTCTCTCTCTCTCTCTCTCTCTCTCTCTCTCCCTCTTCTTTCTCTCTCATATGTATGAACTTAAAAGTTTAGTGATTTCATTGGTCTGGGTACACCTTCAAACACATCTCACAATTTCTCAAGACCTTACCAACAGTTTTCACTCCATCCATCATCTCCCATCACTTCCCTGCTTAGAAACTTGGACAGAAAACTTGAACTACACCATTTGCCTTTCCCCCCCCCCCCAGGAATCAGGCTTCCTTTATCATCTGCATATCATGCCATGTTCTCCAGCTTTTACCAGCTCCCTTTTATATTTCCTTCTCCCATTACCATGTAAGCTCCATGAAAATAAGAACTGAAGGGGTAGCTAGGTGGTGAGAGCACCGGCCCTGAAGTTAGAAGGACCTGCATTCAATTACAACCCCAGACCAAACACTTCCCATTTACTAGCTTTGTGACCTTGGGCAAGTCACTTAACCCCAACTGTCTAAAAAAAATAAGAAGAATTGAACTTAGTTGCTTGTATTTTAATCACAAAGTCTTAACACAGTGTCTGGCACATTAGGCACTTAATAAATGTTTTATCTAATTATCTATCTTAATTGTTTATTCTGTCAAAAGGATTTCTCATTCTATAGCCAACATCCTGGCAATGAATCCTTTCCAAATTGAGCCAGACTACTCCTAAGACCAATCCATTCCTAACAATATAACCAATACTGCTCTAAGAAGGGATTTAGGGACACAAGTGACTTTGCTGCTCAGTAAGAAACTCAGGACTTTTTAAGAAAGTGATCAATAGGATTCTATGGAAGACTGAACTTCAATGAGTAAACAGATGAGTTTGCTAAGGAGACAGGGTGGTAGATATTTAATAAGAACTTAGAAGCATATAAATGTTTGAGGTACTTTCTGGCTTAATATAAACCTGCAAATCTAACATGAATGAATCAACAAATTGTGAAGAGAATTTTTTTAAATAATAACCATAAAGATAAGGGAACATAGCCACCCAATTCATTAGTAACAGTGCCACTTCTTACAAATGAGTTTCTGCAATCTCTCCCAGATGTGTTAATAGCAAATGGAGATATACAAACATTCCTGAAAACAGGATGGAATTAGAGTTAAAATGATTAGCAATTCTAAGCCATACTGCATAGACCTTAGCGTGAGATTCCCTGATCTCCTAGAGGGAGAAAGAAAAATTGAGTCTGGCTGGCCCTTCTGTCCTCCAAAGAGATGCAGAGATGCTTCCTGAATTGTGACCATCTACACTTGCTCTAAAAGGAAAACTCTCTGGGAGAGGGCAGACCTGAGGGCCAAGCAGTCCCTACATCACTATAACTTTCCCGTTATTTCCACTCTAATTCCACATATAACTAATTGTCTTCCTGCTTACTCTAACCAGTCATTTGCTCCTCAGCACCAATTTGAGGTTGGAGGTAAAATCAGAATTCTCTTTTCTAAGCTTTAGGTCAGCTTTGAGAACTGGAAGTAGAGGAAAGCATGATGTCCCTTTCAAAGAGTCTGGTTATTTTGCAATCAAAGAGATTTAATACTGTTAACAAAATACCACCACTTCGATACATGACCCATTGCTTCTCTTTTTTGAGACCTACTATTATGGCTAGAGTTGGTTTGAGAACTAATATGACATTATGCCCCTCTTCCACATTTGAAATATTAAGAAGGCAATGAGATCTTGATCAATAATTGAGATTTTGTACAGGATAGCCAAGCAGTCAGACCTATAATATCAATTAGATAGGGCTTGCCCAAATTTGAATTGTGATGAGAACTCAGGATCAAAGATTTTGGTGGAGTTAGATTTATAAAGATATATATATATATAAATATATATATATATATGTATACATATATATATATAATTTTGTTTTAAGAATAATACATATGAAGATATCTGTAGATAAACATAACCTCACTGAAATCCTGCTCTGAGGTCTCATCACATCATAGAGAAGCAGCATGGAGTAGATTAGATCAGGGGTTCTTAATCTGGAGTCTGTGGACTTGTTTTTTAAAGTATGTTGATAACTGAATTTCAATATAATTGGTTTTTTTTCTTGACAATCCTATATATGTTCTTTTATGTTTTTAAAGACATTATTCTAAGAGGGAGTTCATAGACTGCCAAAGCAACCTGTGACATAAAAAATGTTAAGAGCCACTAAATTAGATAGAGATGAACTCTTACATAGATATACTCACTGATTGACCCTGGTCACTTAGCCTCTTAGTTCCCTAATCAACTCACAATCATATAAATTATACATATAAAAATACATATATCTGCAGACTCATATATGTAGAAATAAAAAACTCATGAGCTCATGCACTAGAAAAACAAAAAAAGTTGCTTATTCGCAATAATACCTAGGGGTGACTATTACAATAAGAAGTTGCCACAGTCTCAATGTGCCTATTGAAATCAATCTAACTTAATCCTTCCTTTGTCAAAAGGAAAAAAATAAAAGTTCAATTGTGTGAAATTGAAATTGTATACATGGTAATAGTAGGAATGATGTAAGGACTTAATTTTAAATGGCAATGGGAAATAATTTCCCAGTCTAACATCCAATAAGCAGCAATTGTTTATTGTATTAGGACAATGTTGCAAGAAAGTAAATATGGACTTATATAGCAAACTGCTAAAACTTTGGCCAGTTGCATCCCATACTTGCAATATTGCAGTAGAATACAGAAGTGGTTGTGAATTGTTCTAAAGTCAGTCAACTAGCATTTATTAAGCACCTACTATGTGCCAAGCACTGTGTTAAGTACTGGAGATGCAAAGAAAAGCAAAAGAAATAGTTCTCAATCACCAGGATCCAATAGTCTAACGGGAGCAGACAACATGCAAACAACAAGTAAGATGTAGACAGGAAAAATGGGGGAAGGGCAGTAATCTCAGAGTAAAGGCACTAAGATTGAAGACTGGGAAAGGCTTCCTACAGAAGATGGGATTTTAGCTGAGATATGAAGGAAGTCAGGGAAACCAGGAAGCAGAGAGGAGAGAGAACATTTCAGGCATGGGAGGCAGCCAGTGAAAATACTCAGTCAAGAGATAAAGCATCATGTGCAAGGAATAACAAAAAGGCCACAAGTCACTGGATCATATAGTACATAGAGTATCACAAAACTGGAAAGATAAGAAAGAGAAAGGTTTTGAGGATTTTGTATTTAATCCTGAAGGGGATAGGAAGCCATTGGAGTTTATTGAGTAGGAGACTAATAAAGGTCAAATCTGCACCTTAGAAAGATCAAGTTGACAGTGGCATGGAAGAGGGAGTGGAATGGGAGAAACGCAAAGCAGGAAGACCAAGCATTATCACAATAGGTGATGAGGCCCTGAAACAGGGTGGCTGCAGTTTAAGATAGAATGGGGCCATATTGATAAGATGTTACAAAGGTAGAAAAGACAGGATTTGGTAACAGATCGGATATGGAGGCATGAGTGAGAGTAAGGACTTGAGAATGGCATCTAGACTGCAAATCTGGGTAACCAAAAGTGGTGGCACTGTCCGCAGTAATAAAGAAGTTAGAGAAAAGGAAAACTGTGGTTGGGGGCAGAAATAATGAGTTCAGTTTGGGACATATTGAGTTTAAGATATTTACAGGTCTGAGATGTCTAAAAGGCAGTTGGAGATGCAAGACTGGGAGACAGGAAAGACATTAGGGCTGGACAAGTAATCCTGAGAGTCTTTGGCATAGAGATGGTCATTGAAACCATGAAAGTTGATTTGTTCACCAAGTGAAAGAATATCGAGGGAAAAGGAAAGAGGTCCCAGGAGAGAGCTTTGGGGGACCCCCACTGTTAGTGTATATGAAATGGATGAAGAACCAGAAAAGGGGATAGAGGAGAGGCATGACAGGTAGGAGAAGAACCACGATAGAATGGTGTCGCAAAAACCTAAAAAGAAGAGAGTATCAAGAAAAAAGTGATTGATACTCTCAAAGGTTGCAAAGAAGTCAAAAAGAATGATTATACAAAAGGGTCAGAGGAGCACTGTATATTAAGGAAACAAATATTTTTTGTGTAAATTCACTAACATAGGAGGAAACATGGGAAAGAGCATATGGTTAAAGATAAAAAGAAGGTACAACAGAGAAGATGATATAGTGAGATCTTTTGATCTAAAGGAAGACTGGAATAAAAAGTTCCAGATGCAGATTACAACACTGCCATAGTGATAAAATAGAGTTATTATAGGTAACTTCAATTATCCAAATAGGTTTACTTGATTGGTAGATCAGGAAATGGCAGAGATGTAACAGGCATTGGCAAAGTCTCTCCACAAGTACCCTTATGGAAATCATAGAGAGGTAAGATTGGATGACATAATTATATGGGTTCAGAAATGGTTGAATGATTTTTTCACATGAACTGTATCTAATCACTCCTTTCCAATGCTATAACTATGCCTCTGGTTGATTCCAAGCATTAGATTTTGCATTTATATATTTTAATTTATCAAATTTATATTTGGC